GTGTCGGCGGCGATCGCCATCGCGGGAGTCCGTCGTCGCAGTTGAGCGTTCGTTACCGATCGACCCCCGTCTACGCGAGCAGCGCTGAGGGGCGACTCTGTGCCTTCAACTTCGCTGTCGGCGTGGTTCGTCATGCCATGCCCCACGACTGGTTTCCATGTCGTGGTGGTATGACATCGCGGAGTCGTCGTGCGGGACAGGTGCTCCTTACCCGCGTAGAGGAAGGGCATGCGAGCGGCTTTGTATCGCCTGCCATTGAACGGAAGCACGCCGTCACGGGGAAAACGTATCTCAACTATTTGCCTGGTCCGGCATCGCGCACAGCGGCACTGGCATCGTCGTCTCCTCTTCCGGGTTCAGCGAAATGAAGGCGCCAGGGAACAACTCATCCAGTTGGCTGTCCACTTTGAGAACGTCGCCGGGCATGTCGTTGGCCATGCAGCCTCGAAAGGTGCGCTCTCTGAAGTCTGCGGCGGGATTCTGGCGGCTTGGCCCCGTTGGCCCCCAAGCCGATCCAACGTAACCTGTGACGTCCACTACCTTTGGCCCGGTAGCTCAGTTGGTTAGAGCAGGGAACTCATAATTCCTTGGTCGGGGGTTCAAGTCCCTCCCGGGCTACTGATTTCCCCGGCGTTGCGTAGGGCCGGCTGTCGCGAGAAGTCGCAGCCGGTAGAAAACCCTCGCAAAAATAGCGGCTTTCGCTGGCTCCGGTCCTCCGGAGCTGGCGAGCCGTCAAGCTTCCTGCATCTCCTCGCGACTCTCTGCAGCCGTCCGCTGCGCCGCATTCTGCGCCGCTTTTTGCGACGCCTGGGCGAAGTGGTCGTCGGTCACCATCAAGTAATGCTTGTCCGCCGTGGCCTTGGTGTTCCCGAGCCACGAACAGACGACGTGAGACGGGAATTCCCGCTCCAGCTCCGTCTGGCGCGTCGCCCGCATGTTGTGGAACAGCTTCGGCCAGGCCTCGACGCCGGCCAGCTTGATCGCCCGGAACATGGTCTTCCGCAGCGACTGATCCGTGACGCCGACAAGCATCGGGAAGACCAGCGGCTCGAGCTCCGGGGCGATCTCTTGCCACTCCGTCAGCACCTCGCGCAGCTCTGGGAACAGCGGGATCGTCCGGGTGCCGCGGCCGGCGTAGCGCTCCGTCTTTGGGGACGTCACGCGGATCCGCTCGCGTTCCCAGTCGATATCGGCCCACGTCAGCAGACGCGGCTCCGAGCCGACGCGGAGGCCTCCCCACCGGCTCAGCGCGAAGAGCGCCTTCCATTCCGCCGAGGGCAGCTTCGCCATCACCAGCCGGGCCGTGTCGGCCTTGATGTACCGGTGGTGGCTGGTGCCCACGTTCGCCCGGGGAACGTTGCCGTCGTCGAAGGGGTCCCGGTCGATCAGGCGATGCTTGATCGCGTAGCGGAACAGCTTCGAGGCGATCGCGCATCGCTTCCGGACCGTCGCCTCGGCCAGGCCGTCGACGTTCAGCATCGCGTCGCGGAAGTCTTCAGCGTCGCCGGCGGTGACGTCGACAATCGCCTTTCCTGCCCCCAGGTGCTCACGCATCGAGGCGAACGCCCGATCGTGCACCTGGATCGTTCCCGGCTTGTACCCGGGGAACTTCTTCGACTCGTAGTCCTTGATCAGCTGACCGATCGACAGCGACCGGCTGCCATGCCGCGGCGCCGCCAGCCCGGCCCTCACCAGACGTCCCCTGAGGACGTCAGGCAGCCCGGCGAGCCACCGGGCCGTTTCATCGTTCGGCGCGCTGCCGTCGATCCTGCAGGACGCCAGGGCCTCGATATGCTGCAGGACGCGTTCCGCCTTCTTCTTCGGCATCTTGCCGAGTCGGACGGTCTTCCTTTGACCGTCGACCATCACAAGGATCCGGCGTGTTCCGCCGGGATCGTTTGCCAGACTCGCCATTCGCGTAACCCCCAATGGTTGGTGGTGAAGTGCGGTCACTCGACCGCGGGAAGAAAACCCGGCGCAATGTGGCTGCGGCGGGACAGAGCATCATCGGCGTTCCGGCGCCCGATAGCGGACGATGACCGCCTCTTGAGGAGCGTCCGACGGGCCGTTGTAGCCATCGGCGTAGGCCCGGGCGTCCTCGATCGACATCAGCTCCCGTAGGACCTCACCGGTCGATCGCCGGATCACGCGGCGAAGCCGCCTCGTCGAGACGATCACTCGGCTCTCGTCCAGAATCTCCAGAACGCGATAGCGCGGGAATGCAGCGGTAGCCATCCAACTTGGCTCCTTTCGCCAGACGGAAATGTCCGGCAAAGAGAACGCGTGGCCGTGGAGACTTGTCAGGCGGATTCACAGCCGCCCCGGTGCCTCACGGCGCGGACGCTTGCGGCGTCCCCGAATCTACACGGCCACGCGTTCTGTTTTGTGAATTGAGTTTGACAGTGAATTGCTCGGGAACCCAGCAGCTCCCAGAGATGGCCTTGCGGGCCGCAGCTTTGACCCTCGAATCATGGCGACAGCCGGGGGGCGTTGTCAACGGCAGCAAGCTGCCGAATTGCCGAGAATCCGAACTCGCAGGAGCCCCGCTGCTGCGTCGCAACGCTTCGGATCAATACCTTTGCCGCGGAACGCAGGGAACGCGGGATGCAGGCTTGTGGGGCGTCTAGGGCCGTCAGAAGGCGGCAGCCTCCTCCAGCTCTTCCTCATCCTCGTCATCGATCCCAATTGCTTCCTGAACCTCTGAGACCAGCGCGAACTCCTCATCCGTCATCGTCATCGACTCGCGGAACTCGAGGGCCTCGGCGTCGGCGATGTACTCGACCTCGCCGTGATTGGCTTTGACGAGCTCGGCGATGGTGTCGATGTCGGTGCGGAAGTATTCCTTGCGAAGGTTCACCCGGTTTACGCGGGATTGGTGCAGGGCCTTGTGAAGGGTGTTCTCGAGCTTCGGGGCGTCGTCGCACGAGATCATCATGTGGACGTCGAAGGGGAACGGCACCGAAGCGTCGCCCAGCTCCTTCACTCGCATCAGCGGTTCCAGCCGCCGCGTCATCCCGACTTTGTACACCCCGTCGCCGAACGAACCGATGTTCGAAATGACGTAGATGTACCCGGCTCTCGTCTGCTGCGCCATCGACAAGGCGCGGAACGCTTTCGCTTCAGCTTCGGCCAGCTTCGCCTCGAGCGCTTCAACCTCTGCGGTATGGGCGCCGGCCGCCTTCGCCAGGGCTTCCGCCAAGGCCCGCTCGATCGCGACTTGCTCGGCCTCCACCCTTGCCAGCTCTCGCTTCAAATCTGCCTCGGCTCGCTTCTCTTCCCGGATCCTTGCCTTGATGCGGGCCTGCTCGGCGCGTTCGTGCTCGACCCGCAGCACCATTTCGTAATTCTTCTGGAGATCGGACAGCAGTTCCCGCTCGAGTTGAGGCGACACCTGATACTCATGCTTGCGGCAGAACTCGATCGTCTTAATCAGCCGCTCTCGCTGGCTTGTGAAGTTGCTGCTGGTCAGCTTCGAAGAGATCCATTTGACGGTGTCGTTCAGCAGACGCTTGCCGAGTTGGTCGATCGTCTTCTCGCGGTTGTTGGCGAAGTCGACCATTTCCTGAGCCCGTCGCTTCTCGCCATCGACTTCGGTGTAGATGAGTTGGCGCCTCTCTTCTACCAGCCGATCGAACTCCGATTCAAAGAGCCGCCACTTCTTCACGGCCTCATCGTTGGCTGCCGACAGCGTCGCCACTCGCTCACGCAGCAGCTTCGTCTCCTTGCGGTTGCTCAGTTGCTCGGCTCTCGACAGCAGGAACGCCACCAACGGAAGAACGCCGAGCGCCAACGCGGCGCAAGCGAAGAACCCCGACGTCGTCGTTAGACCTAGCAGCAAACACCCGGCGGCCAGGATCGCGCTAACGAGGCCGATCCCCGCGGCCGTGTAGGCTGCATATTCGAGGAAACCCAGTGGCGGCTTGGTGTCAGCCGGCGGAACGTACGGCGGCGGTGCGTTGGGAATGTCGATGAAGGTGACAACCGCTTGGCATCGTGGGCACTTCTGCGGCTTCTGGAAGACGCTTTCGGCCGCGGAGACTCGGGCGCTGCAGTTGGGGCAGTACCGGGCGACTTTTGCATCCGACATAGGAGATCCCGCGAGGAGTGACGACGGAAGGCAATACTCTCGCCACCCGGCCGGCCGACTTCAAGCCGCTCGGTCGGCACCCGCCCGGCTCGCTACGCCGAGCCGTCGTAGCAACTACTATGGAGCGGTTCCACTATCCGCAATGAGCCGCCCGTCATGCCGATCAAAGTCACTTGCCTCGAGTGCAGCCGCGTCTACCAACTCCCGGACGCGGCCGCTGGTCGGAAGGGGAAATGTGAGTGCGGGGCTGTCCTCGATATTCCAGTTGATGTGCCGCAGATCGAGACCCATGGTAGCGGCGACGATCCTGATGATGACGGCGATGACATTGTCCCGGTGCCCCACGTCACCCCGCCGCCCCTTCCTGTCCTCGATGACTTTGCCAGCTCTGATAATCTGCCACCGTCACCGCCACCGCCACCGCCAACCTTCGACAGTTCAGAATGGGGTGGCAGTGAAGGGCCATCGCACCCAGTTGTGGTTGACGTGAGGTATCAAGACCTTCGGAAGTGCTCGCAATCTATTCGGGTCATCGGCAAGGTGATCTTCGGCTTTTCAATACTGACTTCCGCCTGCTTGGTGCTGACTTCAATCGTTTGGGCGGTAGAAATGTCATCGCATGCCAACCGGATGCAGGGCTTTGGGCAACGCGAAATCGCCAATGAGATGACAACAACGATCGGAGCTGTCGTGCTGGCTAACTGGGGCGCCGCGGCAGCTTCGGCTTTGGGCGGGTACGTTGCCAACCTACTCTGCAGAACGCTGTCGCACGCTCTGTATGTCCTAATGGACAATGAAGAGAACACTCGCCGAACTTCTCTCATCGTCGAACAGCTGCAACACTAACCCCGGCCGGCTCGCAACGCGCAGCCGGGGCACGGTTCAGATTGTCAAAGAACGCTCTTCAATGTCGTCACTCGGCGCTGTAGCGGCGTTCCTTCTCGGCAGCTTCGACAGCAGTAAGTTGCGAGCGGAACTCGATAGCGTCCTTGTCGCGAATGAACGGCTTCACCCCGATCATCAGCCAGTCCGGCGCCAACCCGCGGTCGTGCCGCGCTTCATTCAGCCGCGTCAGAGTCAGACCCGCCGCCCGCGTGAAGCCGTCGCGGGTGTAGAGACGCTCCGGCGCGATGTAGCTCGTCTAATTCGTCGTTAGGTTCCGGCGCTTCGATTTCTTGGCCATCGGGCTTCTCCAGGTCAGTCGAAGGGTCTGAGCATATGCAGCTGCGGCGCCGGCCGTTTGATGACAGTCTCTCGGGGACTCGAATGCGTCGGCAGCCGCAGCGGTTTGGTGTAGGGGCGGCGCAGATTGCGGCGCAGTTCTGGCCCGCCGGGCCGCCCGTATTTCTCTCCCGCCGGATCGCAACTCGATACCTCAGCGCGCTCAGATCGACGTCGTGCTGACTACTTTGACGACGGCGAGCGGCATAGCGTCACCGCTCAAACGACTACCTGGCCGGATCCGATGGCTTCGAGCATTGCCTGACGACGCTTGGCGTTCTCCGCCTCGAATCGCCTCTTCGCCTCTAAGCGGGCTTCGCGCCAGTCGGGCAGGTACGGGTCGGGCTCGCTGTTGAGCGCCGCCGTCGTCCACATGTAGCCAGGGCCGCCATCCCAAGCGATTCGCGGAATGTCTCCGGCCAACTCGATGGCGTGGAAGCCCGCCCAGCGTGCCTCGCCGCTCGCCAGCGTCGAGTACTCCTCGGCCATCGCCGCGAGGTAGTAGTCGAGCTCCTCGTCGATCTCGGCCTTGTTGTCGCTGTCAGCGGTCGCCGTGGCGACGCCGGTCTCTTCATCGATCGTGAAGTTGATCACGTATCGGAGGCTAGCGCGATCACGGCTGCTGACGGCGTCGCCGGTGCCTGCGTTCGGATCGCTATTGAGCTCGAATTTGCCGTAAACGACCGGCAGTCCAGTCCCCGGGTTCTGAACAGGGTGCGAGGTAACTAAATAGACTTCGGCCGGAGTGTAATGCAGATCCTCAATGGTCGATCCGGCGAGAATAACTGCTGGCTCGCGGAAGCGGACGAGCCCCCTGGCCCCATCGATGGTGAAGTCGTCTCGGCGTCTGTTCGCGGGCGGCGGCGGTTTGTCCTGGGAGCTGTACTCCGACCAGCGACCTTCGACGTAGGCTGATTGCTCGATGGCGATTCCGCCCGAAGCGTACGCCTGTTTCGCGAGCGTCGACCGTAAGGGGAGTAGCTGCTCAATTTCCTGAACGTCAAACAGGGTCTCGCTGTATCCGATAGGGTTGAGGCCGTTGACGCCGCCGCCGTCGACCACGTCCTTGATCCGGTAGAGCTTGTAGACATCGGCCGCCGCGAGCGAGCGATTGTGATTGCCCGTGACGTTGAGGAAGTAGCCATCGGCCGCAAAGCCCCACCCGCTCACTGGCTTGTAGGTTAAATCCTCGATGGGCACGATTGTCCCGTCGGGTTGCCTTCCAACCGCCTCGAGTAGGAACGCCGACTCGTACAGAACCGGCCCCGTTTCCACGACGATCCGTCCCGGGAGCTGCGCAAAGTCGCCGGCGACCGTCACGTCGTACGAGTCGGCCAGAGTCGGCAGCCCCTCGCCTTCGCCGACCTTCACGATCACTACATCGTCATCGATGAGCGCCACGTCGCAACCGTACTCTGAGACCAGCGAGGCCAAGGCGTCCGCCGGGTTGCTGCTACGCCACTCGACTTCTGGTCGCGGTTCGAGCGGCAGAGCCGTCACATCGAAGCCGGTCTCGCCCATCGCCTCAAGCAGCAGCGTCGCCAACTCCCGCGGGTTCCTCTCGCGGTACAACGACTCGTCGGGTTTACGAATGTTGTACTTGCCGATGACCGCGCCGAACTGCCACCGCCACCGCCGATCGTAGAACGTGAACACGTGGCCAATCGCGCTTCCGCCGCCGCCGAGACTTACCTCCACCGCTTCGAGGGCGCAATCGGCGAACGTGATCGAGTCGCCGCCGGAGTCGGTGATCACTAAGTCGCCCTTGTAGCTGGGAGTCTCACCGAATCCGCCTACTCGAACGATGATCGTATCGGCGGTGACCCCGCGCGAGCGCGACGCGGTCACGCTGTGGATCTTTGCCGAAGCGATCCCCGGGTAACTTGCTGAGAAAACGCGTGGTGTGATTGGCATGGTTCACCGATGGCCTGCATGGTTTTCCGCGAAGCCGTCCGATCTAGGCTCGCTGGATTCAGTTGACGCGGCGAGAGCTCCGGCCCGCGCTGCCCCGCAATCGCTTGAGAGTCTCCAGCTCGACGTCCCGCCCTTGCGAAACGACCATCTGCTCTAAGCTCTGGATGGCCGATATGAACTGGTCGATGGCTTGCTTGATCGGCGCCTCGGCTCGTTGGATAACGCCCGGCATCGCCTGCAGTTCAGCCGTGATTTTGGCCATGCCCTCTTCCATTGAGTCGACGAAGTTCTCGGTATTGAGCTTCTCGATACTCTCGAACACCCGCCTGCGATCGTCGGCCTGTTTGGTGGCGAGCTGCTCGAGGAGATTGCCCATCCCGCCTGCAAAACCGGCCTTTGCGTTCTTCTCGAAGAAATCGTCCGATAGGTCGTTTGCTCCCAGCCTGTCGCGCAGATAGATCGCGTCCTGCCGATCACCCGTGCCGCGGCTCAGTCTGTCGGCCGCTTGCCGAGAGAGCATCTGTTGGCCCGGATTGAGCTCGCCGAAGCGTATCGCGAGTTGCCGGTCGATGTCTTTGTAGCGCAAGCCCTGCTCGTAGATGCTCTTCTGTGCCTCAAGCGATTCACGCCAGACACGGAGGTCTTGCCGCCTCGCCTCCAAGGCTCTCTCGAGTTCGCCACGCATGTTTTGTTGAATCGCGAGCTCTTGGCGACTGATGCCGAGTCGCTCCTGCGCAATCCCTAGCGTGCCCCCCGATCGCAACGGGTCTTCCTCGCGGAGCGTGGCAAAATCGCTCTTTCGGATGGAGAGCTCCCGCTGGCTGTCGCGGTAGGCCCTGTAGGCGTTCATCAGGATCGATTCGGCAGACCCGCCTTGATTGGCGCGACCCGGGCCTAGTCGCTCCGTCTCGAGCTGAGCGAACCGGAAGCGCCGATCCACGCTACGCTCCATGTAACGTGATTCCACTTCCTGCAGTCGCTGCGTCTGCCTGATCAGCCGCTCTCGTACATCGAGGCGCTGCTCCTCCAGCTCGTTGGACCGCTTGGTGTCGTTGATGTAGTCCTTCAGCCACTGGATCAGCTTGGCGCCGACATAGAGGACCGCCCCGATCGCCGCCGCCGCCGCCACGAACCCGCCGACCACTCCGCCGAGTAACAGCCCGACTCCGCGTACCAGGATTCCAATGCGGCTGAGCCAGGCGACGAGCTGCGTCCCCAGCAGCAGTTCTAGCGCGACGCGTAGCGCGTCGATTTTCTCACGGGTCGTGTCGATGCCGCGTGGGTCGATCCCGCCGCCACCTCCGCCTGGGATCGGCGACGTCGGCGTCCGGCCGCCGCCACGACCGCTCCCCCCACCGCCGCCCGGCATCGGCGCCGGGGCCCTCGGGTTTCCGCGCGGCCCGTAGTTCGGCGTGCCGTCCGGATTCACGCCCGGGACGCGGTACCAAGGGGTATCGTACGGGGACGCGCCGCCGCCGCCGCCTACGCCTCCGCCGCTGCCGGGGATGCCGTTCGGGAAGCGGATCTTGGCCGATTCGTCCGCGGCCCGCTTGTACTGATCGGCCATCCGACCCGCGGACGCGGTTGCCGCGTCGGTCTTCTTCAGCACGGCGTCGAGCGTCACACCCAGCCGGGCCGCCTGCTCTTCGGCGGCCCGGGCGACGATCACGTTGATGAGGATATCGACATCTTCGATGGCGTTCATTGCCTTAGTCTCGCGTGGTGTAACCGCTGATCAGATACGGGCGGTGAGGAAACGCTATGTCGCTGACTGCGCGGCGTCCCGAGGGAGCGGCCACGCGATCGGCTTCCTGGCCAGGGACAGCAATCGCGCGCGTTGGCCGCCTGGCAGTTCGCTATGGTTCACTCGCCGCGGCTCGTTCTCGGAAATTTCCGCATTGAGCTGGCGCGGCCGGCCTTGTTCGGCCGCCA